AAAAAAAAAAAGCAGTTTCACACTAAATTTCCGAGGGTTTACTTTGCATTTCAATTCTTTTAGTACAAGTTGTGCCTTGACTCTCCAATTCTTTGTAGCAGAACCTGTGTGTTGKKTTTTTWTTKTTTTTTTTTGTTGCATGGAGGMCGTTTTGTAAAGGGATTTTTTTTTKGGGGAGCTGATGATGTAAYGACTCGAAATGAAAACATTTTTAGAGTGATTTCACCATATCCTGACAAGCAAATCCTTAAAGGGAAAAATTGCTAAAAAAAAAATCCTGGTGGAGAAAGTTCTGACAATCCTGTTGCAATATTTGCTGTATGTGTTGGAATGTGGTCACAGAGAGATGCAGAGATTGAAAATTCAACTGTTGAATTTTGTTCTCGTGACTGATTTTGTAGAAAAGACAAAAGAAAAACAAAAATGGTTTTGTAGAAATAAGATAGAAAGGTCCACCCTGCACTCCCAAAGACAATTCCAGGAGCTTGGAAAGCAACGCTGGGTTAAAAATCCCGGGCTTTGCAAAGCCTGGCTTTGGGTTTAGTGCTGGAATTGGGAATTTTTCATTCATTCTAAATGCAATGTTGGGGTGGTTTTTCTTTTTTCCACGAGTGGATAGAACCTGTTCCATCCACAGCCTCAGGCTTCTTCCTCCTTTCACACATTTTTGTTCTCTCACGTTGTTACCATGCAGTAAAATTGCAAATTTAACCCTGCTGGACAAAGATTCAACCAGGGCAGATATTTAAACTGAATATTTCTTTTTCATGTTTGGGGGTGTTTTTTTTTTTGTTTGTTTATTTTTTTCCTAGTTATTATTTAATATTCAATGTGTATCACTTTGATATTGTTAGTTGAGGTCATCTGTGCAGGCTTTAGGGTTTTAATTTATCATTTTTGAAGCATCCARATGGAAATTTTATTGTATGTTTGACCACAGCTAGATGGATTTGCACAGTTACCTGCTGATTGTATACAAACTGGTGACATTCTTAATAAAAATAAGACAAAGCAAAACCTGCTTTATCTGAAATTTCTTCCACAACATCTGAATTTCTTCCTACAACAAAATGCAAACGAATGATGGGATGGAATGGCTGTTACCAATTTATTGTCATCTGATTTTTTTCCAGATTGTGTTTCTGAATTTCAAAAGCGTGGTTTTCTCTTGAGTGATTGTATCAAATGATTCAGCAAAAAAATTCTGATYCCAATCCCAGTGGGTGCTCCAGGGTCAAATTTGCTGTGCTGTTTTCAGCTCGAAAAGAAAAAAAAAAATAGGAAAAAATGAGATAATGAGTACTAGCCATTTTATAATTCCCATTAAGTGGCATTTCATCAAATGAAATACATTTTTAAATCAATTTTCTGAATGAATTTTTCCTCCTGTAAGAAAAAAAAGAAGCTTTGGCTGTAAAGACAGAGATTTGATCCCTGTTCTCCTCAGTTTATGGGGTTTTTTCCTTTCCTATAACACAATTACTCTGCCACACTTCACAATTCCTAATCCTTCTGTAAATGTTTGAAATGCACCTTGAAATCATTGAGATTATYGTTCTTCTCTTGGTTGGGAAATTTTGTTCATAACGGGAACAAAAATCACTTTTACTGATTTTTTTTACAGTTTTTTTTAAACACCTGCCTTGATTCCATGGAATCTGAGAACAAAATCATGTCAGATTGATTAATCCAATAACCTGATTTTTAATTCAAATCCTTGACTATTGCAAGAAAGAACATGAAAAAAAGAAAATCTGGTGCTTTTTTTTGTGACACACTGGCAAATTCATGCCCCACTTTGACATATTTCCATCACATTCTTAACTTTGTTGCTCATTAAACACGATTCATTGGAACAAAACAAAATCTTCTGATAACTCAGATTTCAGGTATTCCTGACTTCCAGCTACACTTCAAAAAACGACAAGAAAATCCACTTTTTTGCCACCAGAAAGTGTTGAAATGTCAAAAAACCAAACCTCTTAGAACTAAACTTTTTGTCTCAGTACAAGCTGATAATTCAGGACACACGAGTTAGTGGAGCTTTTTGTATTTTTAAAATTTGTATTATTATTCGGATTTGTATTATTTTGAAGATTTTTAATTATTTTTAATATTTGTATTATTTTTAACATTTCTATTATTAAGATTTAATTAATCTTGCTGCAGTCTTGCTGCTTCCCTCACCTACACCTTGGGTCTCATTCTGCTTCTGAAAAAGCCAAGAAAAAAGAGAATTTTAATGCAATTACATATGTGTGATACATTATTTATAGACTTGTTGAAACCTGGAAATACCCAAAAAAATTGTTATTGTATGAAATTACCTGTGAAATACATTTTCTAGAAAATCTGTGCAAGAATCAGTGGCATTAATGAATTATTCTGTATTTATTTTGCTACTCAGTGGTCAGAATTATTTCCTGAAAATTGTATTTTGTGCCACACTTCTAACAAGATCCATCCAGATTTATCCAGATTTGTTTCCAATGAATCACTTTGCCTATTTTCCTTTTTTTTCCTTTTTTAACCACAAAAATATAACTTGTATCCCGTAAACAAGTTATAATTGGGACTCCCATAAACTCTGGAAGGTTTACCCTATAATGGAAGCTTTATAGAAATAAAACTGATTTATCAACATTTTAAAAAAATCCCCGTCCCGGATAGTTTGACTAAAAAAAAAGTTTCTTTTATTTCTGAAAATACTAACTGTTCATTCTCCATCCCAGCTATAGGATCTACCTGAATTCCTGGACTAAGTGGAGAATTCCTGCTTCCATTTGAATCTGTCTTTACCTTCAGAAAAAAAAAAAATATTTAAAGTCTTAGTGAGCTTTTTAATCTTACTTTTCGATATTTAAATGAGGAATTGTAGTGGAGTCTCTTAATTTTAAAAGGAAAATTTCCAAAAAATGTGACACTTCTGTTGTATTTTCACATCAAAAGCAAAAATTTTAATCTGAATTTTTATAGCAATGAAAGCAGAGATATTGTGTGAAGAAAAATGATTTTTTTCTGCATCAAATCATCTCAAAAGTCATGCTGAGAGAAATGAAATGAGGACTGATGTGCATCCAGAGGCAAAATTAAATTCTGGGTAAATGAGAATTGGGTTGAGAGAAATTCAAAGAGGTGAATTTATTGAAAAAGACGTAAAAAAATAAAATTTACAGTGCAGAGTGGAGGAGGAGGAGGCTGGGGTGGGGCCATCACATAATGTAGATGCAGCCAGGCAGGGTYTAGCACTGAAATTYGAAATTTTAACCCTCAATTTWAAATATTTTTTAAAATATTTTAAAATAGGTGGGTCTGGGCAGGTGTAGCTGCCTCAGCTCATGCTGTGCTGGGCTCAGGGTCACCTTGTCCTGGGTCACGGGGAATTTTTGCAGCTGAAATTTTTCTCTTCAAAAAAACCCTCAAATAATATGTTTTCCCTGTACAAAATATAAAAAAATAAATAAATAAAACACAAACTAGGTCTTTTATACACGCAGCTGTTCCCATCCTCCTCCTCCTCCTCAGCAAATGCTAAAATTATCTGGGAACAGATTCTATTTGAGTTCAAAATTACTACAATTTCAATAAAATATTTGTGCAAAAAGTTCAAACGAGCAAATTTCTGCATCCTTCAGTGGTAAAAACTAAAATTTAATTTTGGACAAGTTTTGCTGCGCTCCCCTTGTGTTTTGGGAAGCCCAGACAGGTTCAGGAGCTGAATATTACAAAATTATATTTTCTAAATGTTCTCTGCTGAAGAAAGTTTGGATTCTGTCACATTTTTTTCTGACTGGAGAAACTCGGTTTGTGTTTTATCAACAACAGAAGCTCTTTGGGTGATTTTTGATTCGATGATGAAACTTCCCACCATGTCAGCAGCGTCCAAAACTTTCCAAAATCAAATTTCTCACCCTTTGCAGGAAATTTTCAATAAATTCCCCGAAAATAAATAACTCCTGGCTTTCCCAGCTCTTTCCTATTCTTAGAATGGCTGCAGTTGCTGTGCTCCCAGACCATTAACTTCCTTTTTTTTTTGTGTTTGTGGAGTTTTTGTTTGGCCGTTTCCATCCCCAACTGAACCCACGTGGATTAGTTTCCAGGTGGGAGGAGGAAGAAACCCAGGAAATAAATTGAGGCAGGAAATAAAGGAAGGAGGAATTAAGGAGATAAATCAAGGGAGGAAGTGAAGGAGGAAGAAAATTAAAGAAAAAAAAAAAGATCAAGTGAGGAAACCAGTGAGTGAATTTTGTATCTCAATCAGACAGGCCGGTGCGCTTGAGCTGTACATTTCATAAACCAAATTCTTTGTATTTTTCTCATAATTTCTTCAAGCTGGTGGGGCAAATTCATTAATTAATTTCCCATTTTTCCATTTTTTTAGTTTGGAAATGAGGAGCAGCAGCTGGCCTGGGCGAAGAGGGAGAGTGAAAAAGCAGAGCAAGAAAGATTGGCTCGGTTACGGCGACAAGAACAGGAAGACCTCGAGTTGGCCATTGCACTCAGTAAGGCTGACATGCCAAACTCCTAAAATTTGGGGCTCTGGAGAAAGGAAAAAAACCTCGCAGCAAGGCTTTTATAAAATTACTAAACCCTTGGTTGATCTTGTGAAAAGTTCTTTTAGTCACCTTGAGATGCGAGCGCGAAAAAAACCCCGCAGGAAGCGCTGTATAATCTGTATTATAATTGTTCTAGATCCAATTTATTGCTTGTAAGAAATTTTAACGTGTAACCCCCTAAAATGCTGAAAAGTTTCTTTCTCTGCAACCCAGAGTGAGCTGCAGCTGGTGATTTTGATGGGCTGAATTCCACGGGGTCTTGGAGGCTGCGGGATGAATTTCCCACAAAATTGCCATGAAAAAAATGAGAATATTCATAGAATTAGCTTTCACTTGTTGCATTTATTTAAAAATTCGTGGTTGGCTAATCAGGATGTCTTCTGCATCATTATGGCAAGGCATAAATTGATTATTGGATTTTATCCARGATGTCTTCTGCATCATTATGKCAAGGCATAARTTGATTATTGGGTTTTATCCAGAAGATGTGGCTTTTTACAGAAGAATCTGGAAATGTAGATGGATACAAAACAGCGAATTTTGTAAAACAGAACAAATTTAAAAGCTCTAGAAATTAGCAGAAATTAGGAATTCTTCTAATGGAAACATTTGTTTGCGTTGAGTTTTAATAATTGTGACTAAAAGTTAATTCAGCTGTGGTAAATGGGATAAATAATCCAGCAGTGGAGGGATGAAGTGAAAATTGTGCTTTGCTGGAAGCTGACAGGATTTTCAGGGTGCTGCTGATGCACCTTTGGGTGCTGCTTTCATCCAGAAATCAAGAAATGGAAAAGTTGACAAAAAATTTGAGGAGTTTTCACCCCTCCAACTCATTGTAGCTTCATTTCCTCCAACTCCCAGCACCCAGCCCGGGCTGTGTCACCCTCTGGGACCGTCCCTCCTTCAATTCCCCCTCTTTGGGGTTACAATTTAGCAGATTTAGCTGAGCTAAAGCCAAATTGAATCCATTTTTAGTTGCCAAATTCACATTCACCCATCAGTTCTGGCAGCACTGGTGGTCTGGGCTGGCTCTGAAATGCAATTTTGCAGCATTCAGACCAGGGAGGAGCAGGTTTTGTGTGCACTGAATTTTTCACCTGTGAAGGACAGCAGAGAGGGTGTTTGACTTGTCATAGGAAAAAAAAAAAATAACTCTGTGAATTTAATTTGCTTCCTAGAAATGCCTTTTCTGATTACAGGAATTCCAGAATTTCAGTTGTGTTTGCCTTGGAGTTTTCTCTCCTAGAGTAGGGATCCAGCAGAACATTTTTAAACGTCCTCAGTCTTTTTTCCTGCCCTTTGTTCTCTGGGAATACAAAGCTTTACATTCTGGGTTTTATCCATGCAGCCCTGACCTTACAACATTTTCTCTAATTTTTTTCTTTTATTTCTTTTTAATGTGATGTTCCTTCATCACCTTTCACCCATTTCTATTTTTTATTTCCTTTTCACCCTCCAATGTTAGTGCCTGTTGAGTGAATGAAAACAAATCTTTCCCAGTTCTGTTGGGGTTTGCCTTATCCCGAGTGTTTTTCCCTCACCAGATCAGATCCTTTTGGGGCATCTCGATGGTTTTCAGCTCTGAAATGCAGCCAAATTGTGACATTTGGAATCTCAGGATTTTGTGATCCACTTTTGGGATGGTTTTTTTAGGAATCACAGCTCCCCTTTTGCTAATGGTACCACAATTAATGCGAACCTTTTCTCCTCAGGAGGGGAGAAGATTTATTTTTAATACCAAAACCAACGGTGTAATGATCATTAATCCTGTCCTTTAATGAGCCCTCTGGGATGCAATGGAAGCTATTTGTGATTTGGCAGAGCCTGATTTGAAATCCCTTCCCCTTTGTGGTTGTTTTTCTCTAAAATGTGTTTGATGACGTGATCAAACATCCTAAAATGTAAAAAAAAAAAATCTGTTGGTGTAGAGGATTTGAAGTCTGTGAGAGCTGACTTGGATCTGTGTAGATACCACAATATAAAACTTTTGCCGTGAAAGAGCAATTTTCCAAAGCAATTTTTCCAATAAAATTTAGAAAGGAATGCCAGTTCTGTCCTGGGTGATGTCACCCCAGTGGGACAGGGACTTTGACTGAACACCTTGATTCATTTTTTAAGCTCTGCACCTTAACAAGACTTTCTGCTGCTTTGTCAGAGCACTAAAATACTGAATTTATAATTCTTCCAAGCCACTGAGATGGTGTTTTCCAGATGTCCAGCAGGGAGGCAGAAGGGTGAATTAATCCAGCATTCTTTTATCATGTTGGGCTCATTTTTATATTTCTTTATTAAATCTTCCTCGTATTTGCTTGAAGGACAGAACACAACACGTTTTCTATGCAGAATTAGATTTAGGAACCTCAATTTTACTGAAACACTCTTGATTCAAAAGGTTAGAACACTTAGATGTGATTCCTCACTTTGTATTTCCTGTGGTTTTCCATAAAAAAAAGGAAGATTCCCCACATTCTTTCCCTGTGCAGTAATTGAGTGTTTGTACAACACCTGCCCTTTCTCTCTGAGGCAAAACTCTTTGTAAAAACCTGAATTTTCTTCCTCCAGAACAGCCAAATTCAAAGCACAAGCAGACCTGCTGCTATTTGGGCAGAGAAAATTAAAAAATATAATAATGCAAAATATGGAAAATGTGAATACCCCCAGTGCATATAGAGTGTACAGTGAGATTCGTGTCCATGTGTGTATATATAAATATATAAATATATATAATGTACTGTATAATGTAATCATGGTTTTTCATATCATTTCCATGCTGTGTCCAGGATCAGTTCCTCGTGCTGTACATAAAAATTGTGAATAGTGTAGAATATGCAGATATATTCTATATATTAAAGCTGGTGTGGATCTGTGGGTTCTGTAGCCAGAGGTGGATGCAGGACTGGGATTTTTTTTGCAGGAAATAAATGCAGATTAGCTCACGGCTTGGAAAAATTTTGAAATCCTGGTTATAGGAAAGAGGAGAAATTATTTCTGATTAATTTGTGTTGAGATTTCTTTCGTTGACGTGAAAAACTCTGTTTATTAGGGGTCAAAGAACCCTGGCAGAACGTAGGAATCATCTGCACTGGATGTCATTTCACAAATTCAAATTCTTTGGACATTTTAAAGGATTTATTTGGAATGCTGATCTCACCTCATCGTTCTTCTCTGGGCTGAGGCAATGACTTTTCTCCAATGTTCTCCCTCAGTTTCACTTCCTTCTTTCCTTTTTTATTTTTTTCCTTTCAAAAAAAAAAAACATTTTCAAGGAGCTGTTCCCTTCCCCACACCCCAAACAGTCCCAGGCAAAGGTGGAAAACGTGTTTTTCTTGCTTCATTCCAGTCAGATTGGTTGTTCATAATTATAATTCATAGTCATGTGGATTCCAATTCTGGTTTTCATCCATTTCCACCTGAGTTTTTTTCCTTCAGGAGGAAAAACTCTTCGTTTTTTTGGCTTAGAGGAAAAATTGGGGGTGATTCTGCTTTGATAAATTCTTTGGTTCTTGAGCAATCCCTGAGAGTTCAGCAGGGTTTGATGGTTTTTTTTAGGGAATATCCTCGCTGCTGGAATGACTCCTGGAAATCCCTGGCTTGCAAAGAGGCAGCAAAACAGGACAGACAGACAATTATTGAGAAATAATAATTGTTAAATGAGGTGTCCTGCACGTGGGCCACAGGGATGGAGTGACCCTTCCCAGAG